GGGGCCTTCCTCTGCTCTCTGAAGTAGATATTAACTTTATTAACTCCCCCTCTTCGCTAGTTCAGTTGGTTCTTTGTGAAGGTGGGTGTGTGCACGTGTGGTAAGTTCTCATTTCATTTGGCAGCGATCTTGCCTGGGTTTACAAGGAGAAGCTGCTTTTAGATTTTCCTTTTGACAGTGAACTTGGCCTCCTTAACTCCCTGCTGAAACCCTACTCTTTGCAGACGGAAATGGGATAAAAACAGTAAGATAAAGAAAGAAATAAATTAGGGAGAGGAAAAAAAACTAAAGAATAAATAATTCTCTTAAAGCAGTAATTTAGAGAGAGTGGGGTGAGCAAAGAGCATAGGAGGGGAGGCTGTGGGTTCTGGGTGGATGGTTCTTGGCTATCTGGCTTTCTGTCCTTGGGTATAGCCTAAACTAGCCAGGTGTTTGTTCTCTGATCAGGGCATAGAGACAGTAACCACTAGACACAGACTCCACCCAGCCTTGTGTGGCTCAAATGGGATAGCCTCTGGTAACATAACCTAACTTTCACAGAGTACTGTCCAAACTTCAGGTTATGGAACTAACCCTTCACCTGGCCCAAGGTCCTTGGATATCCTTGGAGCCCAAACCTGACCACAGTGTAGCCTTCAAAGTGTCATTCAACAAAGAACTCCCCTCAGCTTCTGGAAGTTACTCTTAGGTTATCTGGAATGTGGTGGGAATGAGTGTACTGAGCATGTCTAATGTCTGTCAGCGTGGACCAATTCTCCAGTGTATGTACATCTGATGGTTGTACAGACAGGTATGCATGAACAGGAGGAGGAAGAATGCTCATTTATTCCTAGCTCCACAAAGGAGTATTGAGGATTTTCTTTGCTCTCTAAATGCTCAGATTCCAGTGGTGAATGAGGCCAACTAGAATTCACCTATATGTGAGGGTGTTTGTGGAAACACAAGGATCCAAAAGTGTCTAGAGAAGTATTTACATGCGTACATAGGAATGTGTTTGTGAAATACTTGCCCAGGTATATGAAGAAGTGTGTACATGTGTTAGAGACTGCATGTGAGGCACTGCGTGTCTGAGTGCTTCTGTGTGCATGCACATGTGGTAAGACACAAGTAAAAGAACCCCTAACTCTACTGCAGGGTGCCAAATCTATCAATCAAAATGCCTGACTGCTGCAGGGTGTCAAATCTATCAAAATGCCTTCAGGCAAAAAGGCTCTGGCTTAGTTCATCTATACTGCTCAAAACAAAGCACCACAAATTGGGTGCCACAAATTGGATTCAAAGCAGAAATCATTTTCTTACAGTTCTAGAGTCTAGAATCCCATGTTTAGGAACCAACAGTGAAGCCTAGTGAGATCCATTCTCTGTTTCCAAGATGGCACTGTGTGGAATCCTCACATAACAGAAGGCGGAAAGGCAGTCAAGAAGTCCTGGTATAAGGAAACTTATCCCAGCTATGAAGACAGACCCTCATTTCTTAATCGCCTTCCAAAGGTTACTCTTCTTAATACTGATGGGTTGGGGGCTAAATCCAAAGGGAATCTTGGAGGAGACATCACCCTTAAAGCCATAGCACTCCCTGAGATATCACTTTAGTTCATTCCCCAAAGTCTCAGATAGGAACCTGGGTTTCAAGGAAAGACTCATTAACACAAGCTGGCAGACAAACAAAAGCCAAATAATGAATACACCAGCTGCTCTTGAGCCCCAGGATCTTTCCCGAAGAAAGGTACTTGGGATGCAAATCTCAATTTGAGGGCTATCAAGAAGAATCTCGAACATGGACTGTAGAGATGGCCTGGCCAACGGGTAGATTTGAGAAGGGGAGCAGAGTGGTCCAATTATGGTGTTTCTTCTGCAGAGAAAATCAGCTGGAGCAAGAGACGGTACGGGGATCTATGAGGCAGTGGGTGTAACCGTTCACACCTGAGAGAGAGTCTTCACTCAGGGAGGAGTAAAGTGTGTGTCTAGCCTGCCCCCTGCACCTGTCGCACCCTTCAGGATGTGGAGACTGAGCTCACATTTTTTTAGAAATATTTTACACAATGATGCAGCTTCCCCTGAACCTAGAAATTAATGCAAGTCAAATATCATCAGAAGTATCTAAACCAAAACTTTCACAACAACCCTGTAATGCAGGTGTTGTCCCCCCACCCCCATTACTGACGAGACAACAGAGGCTCAGTGTCGGAGATAACTGCTCAGTTACACACAGCCTGGCTGGCAGATCTAAGGTTTCAGTCACATTGTCATCAAACTGCTTAGGACTTCATGCACATTCTCCATCTAGTCTTTCAGTGACCAATGCTCCATTTTTTTTTTCAGAAGAAAAAGAGATTTAGAAATGTTGGCAATTTGGTCAAGGTTACCTAGCTACTTCAGCCCATAATCTTCCAACAATTCTGCATTTCCTTCCCAACTCAGGAAAACATGTTGAAATACAGCTCAGAATACAAGAAATTTAACTCCTGTGACTGGACAGTACACAAGGTTTAGATTATTAATCTGGTTCAAAAGAAGTTTCATCTTCAGGTATATTCCTTTCTTAGTGAGCAAAATAAGATAGACCCAGAAAGGCACAGAGAGTTAACCATCACTGTCGATTTAACTTCATTTAGAATCACCTGGCTCACCTCAAAACATGTCTGTGAGGGGTTTTCAAAGAGCTTTAACTGGGGAAGGAAGAGCTAGCTTGAATGTGGGCAGTACCATAGCACTGGCTGGGGTCCTAGACTGAACACAAAGGTAGAAAAATAAAAACCAGTGGAGTACCAACTTCCTGTGTGCGCATGTAAAGTGACCTCAAGCTCCTGTTACAATACACCACAAAGTCTCGACTGTCAAATGAAGTCAAAACAAAACTGTCCTTTCTGGGGTAGTTTTGCGTGGCATTTTGTCACAGTAGCAAATAAATAAATATAAAACTTAAAATAAAAACCAACACAGAAAATCGGTGCTGGGAGTGGGTTTGCTGCTTGGAAAGACCTGATCATGTGGCTTTCAAAGTCTTCTGAATTATCTTATAGAATGAGTCCTGAAAATGTGGAGGTGTGGTCAAAGAAGCCCTGGGATGTGGTAAGCAGGGCTTAGCAGGCTTTTTTGGTGGGCGTTTAGAAGACCGGAAGGCTGAGAAAAATGTTGACAAAAGAGATTGGGTTGATGAGGTTTCCAAGGGGAAAGGGCCTCTACTAAGAATTGGGCTAGTGTCCGTTAATGTTACATTCTGACAAAGACTATTTACGTTCTGTCTTTGCTCTAAAATTTGAGTGAAGCTGAATTTTAAAAAATAGCAATGGACTAAGTCACTTGATGGAAGAAATTTAAAGGCAGCACCATGTCCAGGTTATTGCATGGTTATTGCTTATGGCTTTTATAGTAAATGGACATCAGAAATACCTGAGAAGGTACAGTTTGACAAGAAAAGCTGTGAGAGAAAGTTCAAAGTTCACAGACAAGGTGAGTAAAGAGAAAGTAGCTCTAATTATTAAAGATGTGAACTGGCACCATTAAAGAGAAGCCATGACTTCTTCACTGAGACAATAGGAATGATCTCCTGCAGATGAGACACACCAAGCAATAAAGGCTCAGGTTTGAGAAAATGTAAACTCATTTACCAAGAGAGAGCCTGAACTGAGACTGAAGCTAAGGGGGTTCCCTGCCTGAACACTAGGGAAATGTTCTCCCAGATTCAGTCACCAGGCACACAGAGGCCACTATTGCTGTGCCAGAAGGAAGTTGATGACCCCTTGAGCTGGAAGCAGACCTTAGCAACACTGTCCACTTGGCTTTTCAGACATGCAAAATACAAACATTATACAAGGAGGCTTGTACCAAACTTCTCCAAAGCTGCAAAGGCCAGACAATTTGTGAAAGGAAGACCCAGAGAGGTCATTGTATAAAGTTGTCAAGGTGAAGCCTAAGTTGCGATGAAGACTGCAAAATGTTAGTTAGCAATGTTAGGCCATCCACTGAGGAAAGCCAGGGGTACCAAGCAGAGATGTCCCAGGAGAGAGGCTCCAGTAGAGCTGGAGAGGTGGGGCTATTCCAAACCATTGGAACCCAAATGATGCCACAAGTCCCAGGGGCCAGATAAGGAACTTTATGATTTACTGTTTGGCTTGGTGTTGGTCTTGCTTTGATTCAGTCTTTCCCGCTCTCTTTTAGAATAGGAATCATTACATTCTTGCCATTGTGTATTGTAACTACATGACTTATTTTCTAACTTATAGGGTCTCAGTTAGAAGATTACCTTTAGTTTCAGAAAAGACTTTTGTCTTATGGCTTTTGAGAAGTGTTGGAACTGGTAAGATTCTTGGGGACACTTACAAATGAACTAAGTGCATTTTGCATTATAAAGTGGTCATGAGCCTCAAAGGTAAAATATCCTGATTTAAAAGTGGTGTGTTTGAATGCCAGTATAGCAAGGAGTGAGTTTATGATGATTAATCTTCATTGTGAAATTCTCTTGAGATAAAGTCACCTACGAGACACAGCTCCAGGTATGTCTGTGAGGGTGTTTCCAGGGAAGTTTAATTGAGGATGGAGAACCACCCTAAAAGCAGGCAGCAACATCCCACGAGCTGGGGTCCTAGACTGATTTAAAAAGTAAAAAGAAGTAAGCCCGCTGAGTGCCACCATTCACCAACCTCTACTTCCAATCTATGGACACAGTGTAATCAGTTGCCTCAATCTCCTGTTGCTGTGGACTCTACCCTCAAACTGTGAACCAAAATCCTAAAGGTACTTTTATTTTGGTCACAACAATGTCAAAAGCAATTAATGTAAGTATCACATGTCTTCCTTCATATGTGGAATGAGAAGGTAAAAAACCGTGACAGCAGGAAGAATATTAGGAAATAAGAGCAGAAGAGTGGGAAGGAAGGGCATTTGTGGGCAGTGGTGGGATAAATTCACCAGTGCAAGTACCTTGGACACATGTACCAAAATGTTACAATGAAATTTACTATACTGTACAGCTAATACGCACTGCTTTTTTTCAACAGCATAGCAAAACACTTTATTTCAGTAATCAGTCCAGAATGTCTGAAAATGCACATTATCAGTTGGTTAGGGCAATAAGAGCCTCCACAATGTTTCCCAAGCTCCTTTCTGCTGCTGCTTGAGAGGTCTCCATCTCTGTCATTATCAACTCCAGATCTTCCTTCTTGATCGTGACCTTCGCCAGTTCCTTCTCCCGCTCCTGTTTTGCCTTTTGCTCCCTGGACCATCTGTATCCAATGACGGACATAGCCATCTCCAGATTCGAACTCTGGATCTCCTTCTCCTCTGCATAGTCAGTGACCCACTCCAAGTCAGCAGCACCACTATCATGCTTCTGTGACTTTTCAGGAGGCCGCTCCAGGCCACTGGTCTTGGTCTCTAACTCCAGCTCTACATCTTCCTCTATCGCCATTTCGATCTCCTATGCACTGCTTTTTGAGAAAATGCCTGAGTGGCAAACCATTGCTGTATATTAAAGGACTCTAATCCTATCACCAACAATTGTATAGAAGTCATATTTGACCTCGCAAGCCCTAGCCCTACTGAGCAACCACATGGGACTGGAGACCAGAAATCAAGATGAACAAGAGGCATGGTTCAGATATTCCCACTGTTAGATTCAGGCAACACCTGGTGAGTGCAGGCCCTCTAAGTTCCAGTCATCTAGAGTTCTGCATCCTCACACCTATCAGGGACCTGTGCTTTCTCTCCAAGGTCAAACTAATGCAGGCTCTAAAGCATTCCCACTGCATAACTGGGCCTTTGCACGATCCCGAGACTACAATGTCTGAGACAGAGAGAATTAAGAGCCCTCCCACAGGAAAAGAAGGCCTAGAAGTTGAGTAGCTTTTCCACCTCCACCAGGAGGTTCAAATGCACTAAATCTCTAGCTCTGATGTTTATTCTAGACATTCCCTGCCCTTCCCTTCATTCCCATTTCTTTCCACTGTCAACTGAAGTCCTACTATAAACCAGGCAGAGCATCCACAGCCTGACTTCCAGAACTTCCAGGTGTATCCCCAAAAGTCCCTCTGCCATCCCCTCAGAAGCTTTGGGGAACACCCAAAAATAGATATGATTTGTGAACCTACTCTCTCGTGAATTTAGAACTCCAAAACTGGTCACTCTAATAATCTGAGACCGACCATACTGGCTCCGGTATTATCTCTTCCTTCCCCACTGACTTATCTACCAAAACCCCAGCATGCCTTTGGTCAGGCTTACCCAATTGACCACATGAGCTGAATTCTGACTCTTTGGTCCCAGAATCTCTAACCTCACCCCACCCTAATGCCTGAAACTAATTCTTGGCCCCACTTGAAAGGTCTCTGAGACTGAGTAAAAGTCACCTTCTGCCTCAAGTGTATAGACATCAAGACCCATGGGTACTTCCTTCCTGACCAAAAATTGTCATCATCAGAGTCCAGTAAAGGCTTGGCTCACTGCCCTCATCAAGGTCTCCCCCAAAGACCACTCCAAAAAACACAGTCGTCAGAAAACACACCCAAGAAAGTGGTCAGGAAGCAACCAATCTGAATTATTTACTGTCCCATGGAAGTCAGCCAGCAGATTCCGGTCATGCAGACACTGAGAAAATATTTATGTGGGTCCTGATGGTTGCTTGGCCAGGAAGACTGCCCGCTGTCATCCTTTCTTCCTGCTGATAAGGCAAAGTTACATGTCAGACAGCTTTTAGAAACGCTGGGCAGAAAGCTCTGGCCTTGGATCAGAACAGGGTATATGTCTCCAGCACTTGGTTCCAAGGCCTGTATTTGCTACCAACCAGGGCTGCCTTCCCTGGGTCTGAGCTCCTGGGTCTGTGCCATCATGGCATAGGCCAGACAACCTCAAGGATTTTGTGATATTGCGACTCAGACAGAACCAAATGTTTTCTCCAGATCTGCCATCATGATGCCATTGGCTCATCACAGAGCTATTTTTCTTGGCATTCTGGACACGTTCCTGGAATTCCAGCATCTTAGGATTTTTCTTTCCACTGATCCAGTTTCTAAAACCAGATGGGAGAATTCTATCTGGAAGAGGAAGATCCGAGCCTAAAATAAAAGGGTAAAATAGAAGGGGTAAGTGGACGAGTTCGAGCAGTGTTAATCGTGTGTCCTGTAATGAAACAAAGCTTGGTATGGAGCCACAGTGACGTGTCCTGTGACTTGGCCTCAAAGCCACCCTGAGGCTCATCCTAGCCTCTGAGAAGTCACATAAGACAGCTGCAGGTAGCCCACAGTGCTTGCCTTATTTCTGGACTGTTTCCTGTGGGTCATCCTCTGCCTCCCACCCTCCTCAGCCATGGAGTTCTGTCCTTGCCCATGATCACTTTACGCTCCTTTCCTGAAGGACTCCCGTCCTCCACAGATCCCCATTCCCTGGAAACAACCTTGTCTTTAGGTTCCTTTGAAAACTGAAGTACCAATGATGGACTACAGAAATGAAAAGGTTCAAGAACCAGAGTTTTTACATTCATTTTCTAAACTCGAGTACCTGACATCTTCTCGGAGATGTTCCACCCAGCTCTGCCTAGCTTGGTTTCTCTGAACAGGAAGCACTCCCAGCCTTCCTGCACCCTCAGACCTGTTCTCCTCTGGGGAGTTTGGACTTGAAGGTATGTTTCAGTAGCCATGAGAAGAAGAAATCTTGTAATCTTCTATACTGGATAAGTGCATTCAGCTAATGCTTCCCCAAGAAATTAAGAACAGGTCTAGTCAGCACTGGATATCATTTCAACGTGACTTATCTGCAGAATTATTCTATGCAGATTCCTTTGGTCCCTCAATGCATGAGCAGTTAGCATCTATTCTATCCGAAGCATTGTGCATGCAATGTATCAATGAGACAGGACGCAGAGACGACAAAATCCTCCTCCCCCAGGTACCTAAGGTCCTCAAATCATGACTCAGAACATGGCCTGCCAGGCTCCCAGCCTCTACTTTCATGCCCCTGCCTCACACGTTCTCCTAGTCACTGCCTCATTCACGACTGTGGCATTCCACTTAAGGGCATCAGAGCCCACAGAGTCCTTAAAACCCCACAGGAACTAAAATTACAAAGGGACTGAGTTTTGTACTGTAGACTCTCACCTAGAGTGCCATGCTGTGTGGTAAAGTCATATGACCCAGAATCACATCTTGAGACATTCTGATATGGAATCCAGTGATACAGAGAACCAGAGGGAGGAAGGACTTGACCCAAACTGAGACAACAGACAAGACATTCTACTGGTTCATCTAGTTGTCTCTAGAATCCTGTCCAGAACACCAGGAGATCAGCTATGTTAAAGTCTCTGTTGTTCCAACAAGAAAATAGACTGAGAACCGTAAAATAGCCTCCAAGTTCACAGCTTTGAAGTGGCTGAGTATTGAATCATACTCAGATCATTTTAACTCTATAATTACTTTTCAGGTACTTGGCTGTTTAAAGGGAGGAAATTCAAGGAGTCAATGACTACTACTGGCTACCAAATTCAAGGAGTCAGCACCTACTTTTGGCTGCCATTGTGATTAGCCGCAATTAGAATGTTAGTCTTCCTAAGGAAACTGAGTGTTACTAGTCTGTATTCATTCAGAAAGAGAAATAACTAAAACCCAAACAACACGCTGTAGTGGTCTGAGTAGGAATCAAAGCACAGCCAACCTCATAGGTTTCTATGGGGAAGAGCAGGCACTTCTCAGAGAGACAGGAACAGGCCCTTGAAAGCTATGAGGACATTCAGAGGAAGGAGGGAGGCTCTGCACAGATGTCCCAAGCTAAAGGGCTGTCAAAGATTGTTTTGCTGTCTTGGAGGCAGCTCGCTGGTAGGGAAAACTGACAGATACAGGAAGCTGAAGGGTGTTAGGGGTAAAGAAGGATGCCCTTGCTTTATATTTAAAGCACTGGCATCATTAAAAATTTCAACCAGGAAAACATCATCTTATAAGTCAAAGAAGTTTCTAAGTATAGAGAAATGTATATGCTCCCCTTTATAACTTACAGTATTATTCTTAATAACAATAATTGCTCAAATGTGTCAGGCATAAATCTCAGATAAATTTTAACTCTAAACATGAGTCCTGTGACATTCACAGAAGAAAAAGGTAAGTAGGATCCAGAGTCTCATGACTGTCTGCTCTGGGCCCAGGGCTGTTCCTCAGGAACAAACACCCCTCCGAATCCTGAGCTGTGGGCCAGCAAGGGCTGGAGAAGCCGAACCTGCATCTCCAGCTTGAGTGGGAGTCTGGAGCAGCTGCGCAGTCTCATCTCACTTCGAGGAGATTGTAAAATCCTACGACTCAGCAGCAAGGCTGGGACTGATGAGCTGAGCCGTGGGTGGTCAGGAATGTTTCGGGACTTCCTGGGCCCAGTGTTCCAAGTCTAAGTGTCTGGATTAATGATCCATCCCCAGGAGAGACAGCCGAAGCCCTGACGCCAGGCGCGGGGCATCAATTCGACTTTATACTCTTAGTTTGGTTCATCTGAGGCGCTCCAGGTGGGCTGCATTCTAATAATTAACAATCCCTAAGCCCTACAACGTGAACGACCCAGGAGAGCAGAGTCTCTAACAATGGGTGATAGGAGTGGAAACCTCAAAGCATAAGCATGGACCCCACCCCGCCAACTCATTGATCCCGCCTGGATTTTGTACACTGGGTGATTGGAATCTTGCCATTAAATGCTGCTAAGCTTTTATGGGGACAAAACATGAGAACTTGCACCCTCACTGAATAGGTGAGGAAAACAATGTCAAGAGTGGGCAGAGGCACCCAAGTAACTACCAGAATTCACATTTTATCCTCCGAGTACAGCAGAGCAGCCTCTTTGAGGGGTGTTGAGACCCTCCTTGAAGTGAGAGAAGGAAGAGGGGTGGTTTGATTTTTATTTTGCAGGAGAGATCATGGCAGAGGTGCTCGACTATTCACACATAGGCTTAATGAATACTGACTACATAGTAGTATGTTCCAGCGGCTGTACCAGGTGCTAGGGATAGCAAAACAGTTCTGATGACGTGAGCCTATAGTCATGATTCAGGGGCAAGGGCAGTGAAGTGGGGACGACTGATATGCAAACTCTGCTCATTGGCACGCCAGGGTTCCATATAGAGTCAATGAGGTTGGTATAATGAACATGCCAGAGAATGGTGAACACAGAGCACCAAGGCAGGAACAAACAGTTTCACTCAAAACGAAGGGCGCAGTAGTAGGAGAGGAAGGGAAGAAGCTTCGGAGAAAAGGTGAGCCAGGATGGAAACTTACAGGAGGAATGGGTGTTCATTGGGCCAAAGAGAAATGGAGACCACAGCGACGGGATGTTCCTGGGGGTTGGGGGACATCTGGGCAATGGCATAAAACTGGTTGAGGCCACTGAAGTTTTCCACAGAGCAGGATTTAAGCACTAGGCACACTGAGGATGTGTTGAAGAGGAAAGATAATGAGGCAGACAGCATTTGGGTGGCGAGAAATAGCAGTGACCTGCTTGAGTCACTTTTAACCACACACAAAAAAAAAGTTGTCTGGTCTGAAAAAGTCTGTCTCAGGAATTTTCTCATTCTAAAAACAGTGTGCCCTGCGGTTGTCAACTGATGCCAAGGCTCCTAAATGTGAACCAGCTCTACCCTCCTCTGACCTGAGAGCAAATCATTATAGCCTGACCTCTTTTTTTATTATAAACGTCCCCCAAATCACTTCAGCCACTTCTGAAGAACACATTTGTCCACAATGGACAAATATCGTCGATACATATGGAGAGAGTCCTTATGTTTCTAACCTTAGATAATTCCATAAGATGTGACTTCCCTTTCTATTCAAAACTGAGTATGGATCAGTGAGTATCTTCTGTGGGCTGGCATTGCTAGGCTCTGCGGATGCAGTCTCTGCCTCATTCAAATCTGAACTCTCAGGCTAGCATTTCAAAACCTTAGATCCTCCTAGCTAACCTCTATAGCCTTATACTCTCCTCTCTTGTTTACTGCCTCTACCTCATGTATTATTTGTTTTCAAAATGGAAATGTCATTTTATTAAAATGCCAATACTCACAGTCTAATTCAAGTAATAGCAAATGTAGAAAATGGGAAGTAAAATTTCTCTTTCCTGATTTCCCTGTCTTATAAACCCCACTCCCCAGAAATAACGCCATTAACTTTTGAGAAACATCCTTCCAGGTTCTTTAAATGATTTCTCTGGCTTTTGTAAATTCTTACATGTTCTTAAGACTCATTACAGCAATGATTCTCAACCCTTTTGGGGGTTATATATCAGATATTTATAGTATGATTTATAACAGTAGCAAAATTATAGTTACAATGTAACAACAAAATAATGTTATAGTTGGGGGTCACTACAACATGAGGAACTGTATGAAAGGGTTGCAGCATAAGGAAACCTGAGGACCACTGTACTATAGAACTGTAAGCATAGAGCTGCAAGAGTTCTGATTGGTCACTGTCCACAGTCACAGTGTCCTGTGTGTAGTAGACCCTCAAGAAAATCTGTGAGATCTGTAGATGGATGGACCGACAGATAGATGGGTGGGTGGTAAATGGGTGGGTGGTAAATGGGTGGGTGGAAGGGTGGACGCAAGAACTGATGGTATTCTTGTGAGATGCTCAGCAGAACACCCATATGGGGATGAGGTTGACGTCAAGCAGTGAAGAGATTCTCCTGGGAATTAGGAGCCTGGACTAGAATCTAGCTCTGCCTTGTATTATTTTTGGGAGTTCCTGAGCCTCTCTAACATTCCATTTGCACATTAAAACTTCATAGCGAGGTTGGGTAATTCTCCAAAAGCCTCTCCAACGGATGCTCCAGAAGGCTCAGTTGGCGGTGACCCAGCTCCCCTACTTCACACCTCTATAATTACCCACCTGCATGCCTTTTATTATAGAGATTGGGGTGGGGGTGGGGCTTGTTAAATAAAGGGCAAAAGGAAATTGCGGGCTTGCCAAAATGACATTGCTGGCATTAACTAGATTAACGTCTGAAACGAAAAGCCCACAAAAGCTAAACCAATACAGAGAAGCAACCATTGCTTCCGCTGGAGGCTTCATGGACACCAACTCCTCGGACCCAC